TGGTCCAGTATGGACAGCACCAAGAACTTCAAGTGCTCCTACTGCAAGAAGGTGCTGAGTTCCAAACGTAACCTTGAGCAACATGAGCGAATTCATACGGGTGAAAAGCCTTACCAATGTTCATTCTGTGATAAAAGCTTTTCTGTGAAGAGCAACCTTGGTGTGCACATTAAATCGCATACAGGTGCAGCAAAGACTCATGAATGCCTGAAGTGTGGCAAGAAAGTAATGTCTGCAGAAGCTCTCAGAAAACATGAAATGATGCACAAAAATGAAAGGCCATTACAGTGTGGAGTTTGTGAGAAAAGATTCATTGATAGGTCTAATCTCATTCATCATGTGCAGACACATACATCTGAAAAAAGTTTTGAATGCTCACAGTGTGAAAAAAAATTCTTCACAAAATATCTTTTAAAGCGTCATGAAGAATCACATGCAGGTGTGAAGAATTTCCAGTGTTTACAGTGTGAAAAAAAGTTTTTAACTAAAAGTAAGCTAGCCAACCACAAGAAAGTTCACACAGGTGAAAAGAAATTTGTTTGTGCACACTGTGACAAAACATTTCGAACTAAGAGCAACTTAACTATGCATATAAAAATCCACACAGGAGACAAACAGTTCAAATGTTCATACTGTGATAAAGAATTTATAAGGAAGGCTGATATGGAAAGACACATAAATATCCACACAGGTGAGACACCATTTAGTTGCCAGTACTGCAATAAGAAGTTCAGTTGCAGATCAAACTGTAAAGAGCATGAGAATAATCACACCAGAAATAAACCCTATGGATGTTCAATGTGCAGCATGAAGTTTGCCCTGAAGTACGAATTACACAAACACGAAGAGTCTCATATAGTGAAAGGAAAGTCGGATCTGGGAGAGGACTTTGCTAATTTATCAAAATCTAGAAAACATGAGAATGATAAGTCAAGGGCGAAGGGAGAGAGTGTCATGGCCTCTCACCAGGTATTAGGATTTCACATCAAGGATAGTAACCTTGGTGCACAGGCTAAAAACCTTACTATACCAGATGATGCTTTTGTGCAAAATGAATTTGGTGCACAGGACAGTAATCATGATGTACAAGACAACAATCTTGATGTTCAAAGTACCTCCTTTGACACACAGGAAGTTAGTCAAAGTGTTCAAGATAATGACCTTGGTTTGCAGGAAAATAATTGTGTTGTACAAGGTGACTTGCAGAATAATAACTCAAATGTACCTACAGAGACTTGCACAGACAAAGTACAGTTTGGATGTTCACAGTGTGAAAAGAAGTTCAAGTCTAAAGGAAGTTTAAGAAGACATGAAAAAGGAAAACATGAAGCTGAATGGATCCTCAGAAATCATGTAAAAATTGACCATCATGTAAAACCATTGAAGTGTCCTCACTGTGATATGGAGTTCCTTGAGGAATCTCAGCTAAATAAACATGTTGTAAGTCATTCAGGTGAGGAAAAGCAAGAGCCAAAGGTAAAATCCCCAATTTCTGTTGGTTCATCAGAAGGCCAGAGGGAAACTATGAGTGAATATGTGGCAGGGAAGTTACCTTCAAAAGTATTACTAAATGAGGAGAGGCTATTGCCTTCCCAACAACTACAAGATGGGTCTCCCACAAAGGATGCTTGTGCAAAGATACAATCAGATGATAAACGATTTGGGTGTTTGTACTGTAATAGAAGATTTACATTTAAATGTCACTTAAAAGATCATGTGGAAAGTATGCATTCTAACAATGAGAAATATCATTGTTCTCAGTGTGATAAGAAATTCAAGGTAAGGAAAACCTTTTTAAAACATAAAAGGAGCCATAATAAACCTTACCAGTGTTCACTATGTGAGTTAAAGTTTTCTTACCCATGGATTTTGAAAAAGCATGAGAGAGTTCACAAAAATATACGGTACCATGCTTGTATGCATTGTGATCAAAAGTTCAGGCTCTTGTCAAATCTTAATAAGCATTTAGGAACTAATGCTGGGGAAAAACACTTCTGGTGTTACTCTTGTGATAAAAAATTTGAAGCTAAGTGTGTTTTAAAAAAACATATGGAAATGCACAAAGATGAAAAAATGAAGAGCTGTCCATACTGCGATATGAAATTCCTTGGGACAGCTGAGCTCAAATATCACTTGTTAATTCATAAAACTCAGGAAGGCTTCGAGGGTGAAGAAAAATTTTCTAGTTCAGCTGCTTTGGGGAATGATCAAGATAAAGAGCAGAACAAAGAGGGGATTGACCCAATACTTTCAGGGGAAAGATCCCCAATAGACTCACAGGAGGATAAAAAGTTATCACCCTCCAAGCTGGTGGAAGATGCAAGTCAAGCTCCAAATGGTCCCTCTAGCAAGAATGTTGGAAAGATGCTTTCAAATCAAAAGCCATTTGGATGTCCAATTTGTAAGAAAAGATTAAGCTCGGTGGATACCTTACAGAGGCATAAGAGGAGAAAACATGATTTGCATAAACCTTTCCAGTGTTCACAGTGTGATTGGAAAT